GTGGCCAAGGCCGCTGAAGGGCCTCCATCTGCCAGGAGTCACTTGCCAGGTAGCTGCCGGGCTGGCAAGGGCCTGGTGCCTGGGTCCCCCACACCTCCCTGAGGCTGTCTGCTGAGGCACAGCCCTGGAGCAGCTGGGATTGCGAGGGTTGGAAACCAGGGTTCCCCTGCGGCCACTCCCCTCAGGAGGCCTCTGCAGGCCCCACCCTGGAGACTGGCCCAGGTGCTGCGAAATCCAGCCACCCTGGACCTGCACCTACTTCCCATGAGGTGATAAAGCAGGAGCTGCCTCTGATGCAGGAAAGGATCCCCTTTAGCAAAACCGTGCAGACCTAAGACCTTTCCCATCCCTCCATTTAGCACCTGGGTCATCGTCATCGGATCCTGAAGAGAGAGTGTTCCCATGAATGCTTGAGGTCACGGGCCAAAGTCACCCATGGGGAGCTTTCCACGTGCCTCAGAGAAGCGGAGTTCTCTCGGGGTGGGCAGCTAGGCTCCAGAAGCCCCTGGGACAGGACGCAGCAGCTGCTGGGAGAGCTGAGAATAGCGGTTCTCTGGGGAAGCCCTTCTTTGCCCAGAGAATGATTCCTGGAGGGCTGCACAGAGAAGGCTGCTGGCTTGGGAGCAAGCATGGAGGAGGGGCTTCTTTTTTTAAACACTTCCTTGCTCCTCCTACCTCCTCTTTCTGTGGGATCTGCTTTCATGGAATCGCGAGGAGCCTGGGAGCCTCTTTATGCAGCATAATACATGCACCGGCCTATTTTATTACGAGACCTTCACGACACGGCTGACATGCAGCTGCCCGTGACCTGCAGTCTAGAGACCCCTGGAGTGACTGTGGAGCCTGGACAGCTTCAGGTCCCGAGCGTCAGGTGGACAGTCTGCACCTGTGAGATTTCCCTGAGGAGCTTGTGAGGACCTGGTGCAGTTGTGGAAATGCAAAACCTTCAGGCAGCCTGGGCCTGAAGGTGGACCCAGAAGCCTGGGCCTCCGGGTGGACCCAGAATGGAGCACCAGGAAGCACCCGGCCTGGCTGCCTGAAGTCAGGGCGCGGGAGGAAGTTCTCTTTCCTGTGGGGACTTGCTGATCCTCCCGGGAGAGTCCCACTGCTTTGTGCACACTGCCTGTCCTTTGACCGTTTCCCTTAATGTTTACAAAACTATAATATTTTATTCTCATTGAGATATAATTCACATACCATAAAATTCACACTTTTGAAACAGGCAGCTTCGGGCTCTTAGTATATTCACGGAGTTGTGACTAATTCCAAATACTTCCATCATCCTAAAAAGAAGCCTCAGTCCTTTCTTTAGTAGTCCCCTCCTGGCCCTCCTCCCCCTGCCCATGGCGACCTCACCTGTCAGTGACTTTGCCCACTGCACACATTCCGTGCGATTGGGAGTCATGTGTGGTGCAGCCTTTTGTGACTGGCTTCTTCCATCCCACATAACATTTCCACGATTCACCCGGGATGTGGCGAGGATCGGTGCTTTGCTGACTAAATGACACCCCTTTAAATGCAGGGACCACATTTGCTCTCTTCATTCGTCTTCTGGTGGACCTTTGGGTTGTTTCCGCCTCTTGCCTGTTGGGAGTAGTGTCTGAACATTCCTGTACAGGTTCTTGTTTGAGCAGCTACTGTGATTGTGTGAGGCATATCCCTCCTGGTGAAATACCAGGTCATGTGGGAAAGCTGTGTCTGACTTTTTGAGGAACTGCCAGGTTCTTTTCCACATGGAATCATTTTACAGTCCCACATTCTCGCCAAAACTTGCTGTCCATCGTTTTGTGTGTGCCATCCTAGTGGATATGAAGTAGGAGCTTGTGAAAACATGTATGTATACACACACACATATACACATATATATATATACACACACACAGAGATACATATACATAACCCAGAGTTTTACCCTGCAAAGCCCCTTTTAAATAAGTGGCCCTGCATGTGGAGAAAAAGGAACTCTCTTGCACTGCTGGTGGGAATGCAAACTGGTACAACCACTATGGAAAACTGTTTGGAGGTTCCTCAAACTGCTAAACATGGAGCTTCCATATGACCCAGCAATCCCACTCCTAGGTATCTACCCAAAAGACACTGGTTCAAAAAGACACCTGCACCCCCATGTTTATTGCTGCTTTATTTACCATTGGAAAGACATGTATTCAACCCAAATGCCCAAAAGTAGATGACTGGATTAAAAAGATGTGATGTGTATACACAATGGAATATTACTCAGCAACCAAAAAAAATGTATTTTGCAGCAACATGGATGGAGCTGGAAGAGATTGTGCTTAATGAAATAAGCCAGAAAGAGAAAGAAAAATACTGATGATTTCACTCATAGCAGGAGCATAAAGGACCAGGGGGGAAAATAATAATAATGAACAACTATATACCAGAGACATTTTACGGGGGTGGAGTGGGGAATGGGATCAAAAATGGGGGGAGGGAGACTGCACAGGACTATGGTGATGGCACACGGGTGATTTGGTGATGGGAAGCCCACGGGGATTACAACTGAGATGGAAAAGGGCACAAAATGATGTAAAAATTAACTATTATAATTTTTTTTTTTAAAAGTGGCCTCGCTTGAGGCCATCTCTCTGGAGGTCAGATGCAAGAGGAGCCCTCCCAGGTGACAGGAGGCTAGAGCCCCCAAGCCGTGCCTGAAGCAGGTCTTTGGGGTGGGGGTGGGGAGTTGAAGACCACTGGCATGATGCCCTCCAAGCTCGGGAACTGAGTCTGGCCAGCAGCAGCTCCCAGGCCTCGGCCTTCAGTCCCAGGCTGGTTGTCTTGGAAACCCCCTCACGGTCTTTGGCCAAGTTGCGGGCCTAAGGCAGCAGCTGTGCTGGGGTTGCCACAGTGAGAAGGGGCCCGCAGGGTTCCCGTCCATGGCTCCAACTCTGAGGGCAGCTCAGGCAGGCACAAGAAGGGAGCTGGGGAAAGCTGCAGCCACCCCTGCCTGAGTCCAGGCCTGGGTTTCCAGGGCAGCCGAGCAGCCCAGGCTGAGTGGTGAAACCAGTGGAAGGTTCCTGAAAGCCTCAGCCCCAGCCCTTGGGCCCAGAGGCACTAATCCTCTGAGGCGCCCAGCATGGCTTCTGGGGCCCCCCACTCCACTCTGCATCAACATTCTGAGAGCACCCTCTGCATCCTGGGTAGGGTGCCTGGCACGCTGGGGTTGCCTCGGCAGAGGGGAGCCCTCCCCAGGTCTGTTCCGTTGGTTGCAAGGCTCCGCTTTCCACAGCTGTCGGGCTTGAGTCATCAACACAGATCGTTCTGTTCCCTTGGTTTTAAGATAGCTTTCTTCTTCTATTGATGGCTAATTCTCTGCAAAAAAAAAGAGAGAGAGAGAATTTATAGTATATGCAGGGACTTTTACTTACCTAGAATATTAGATTAAGCCAAGGACTTGGTTTCTCCCCCGTGATTTGCCAATTGAGGAAAATGTCTCATTGAAGAAGGCAGCTTCCTAATTTTACAGCTGTGGAAACTGAAACCCAGGAGTCCTCACCACTGGAGGGCAAGAAAGCATCAGTGGCAAGTCCTTCATTTCACCAGCAGCCTTAGACTCAGAGACTGGATCCAGAAGAGTCTTAGAGACCCTTGAATCCAACCCTTGGTCAATCCAATGTGCCTGTTGACACCTTGTTGCTGTTGTGCATGGGTGGTGTTTGGTTTCATGAATCCCCCAGGGGTGTTTTCTTTTTCAACTCAAGCCAAGGCATGAAGTGGTGGGGAAAGGGTCGGGGAAGTTCAGGAGAGGCTGGCAGCCCGCGGGGAAGTTCAGGAGAGGCTGGCAGCCCGGCCCAGGTGGGTCTGCCATGTGCATGAGGACCGGGGCTGTGGTGCCCCTGCCAGCAAGCAGACGAGGGAGCAGCCAGGCTTTCCTGGGGCTGAGCCAGGAAAGCTCCCCACGGCTACCTGTTTCCTCTCCACCTCCCATTTCAAGTGGCGGCCTCTGGCCACCTAGGGACAGGCCTGCGGGACTCCAGGCTGAGCTCGGCATGGAGACAAATGCCATGGCAACCGCCTCCTCTCAGGGGCCTGGCGGGGACTGCGGCCCTGAGAACACCTGGGCACACACCGGGACTCTGAGGAGGCTCCTGGAGAGGCGGCTCCCTTTGGGCCTGGCTGGCTTCTCCCTCCCCATGAGGGCCCCGCCTGCCTGTGAGGTCCCATCCCAGCAGGGGAAATGCCACTTCCCCTCTGTCCCGGATAAATGGCTGCCTCTGGCCTCCCAGGAGACTGTACAAAGGCCACCCCTACCCTGTTCAACTGCCCCCTGCCCCTACGGGTGAGAGGAAGGAAGAGGGAGTTGAAAGGAGGGAGGTAGGGGTGGCCAAGCAAGGTAGTGGAGGGACAAAGCCTGCATTTACAAGGCCACGGCAGTCGCAGTCCCGAGGCGCACCAGGCCCACCGCCCTGGACCATCTTCCCTCCCCCAGCTGTTCCCAGGCAAGGACCCCCTGTGCCAGGAGGTAGCGAGCCACTGGGGGCCTTACTGACGAGTGTGTGTGGGGGAACCCTTGTCCCCCACCCCTGTCTATGGTTCCTCCTTAGGGCTGGTCCTCCAGGACCAGGAGCCCTGCCTGGGCCATTGGGCACGATGGGTGGAATGTGTCACTGCACTGGGGAGGGCAGCTCAGGTGACAGGTGTGGTGTCTGTGGCTCCTGCTCCTGGCACCTGACACCCGCGGGCAGACAATGCTGGCTGTGTCTCAGCCCTCCCGGGGAACAGGCCGCCTTCTGTGTCACGGCCAGGAGCCAGGCCACCTGAGCGGCGCCTTTGTCCACCCAGGAGGCAGCCCGGCCACCGGCCAGGATGACCAGGCTCCTGGGAGCCCCTGACGTGGGAAGGGGTGGAGCCCTGGGGTGGGGACTCCGGGCCTGAGATGGTGCTGGCCGGGTTCCCACACTGGGACTGTGCTCGGGCAGTCCCGTCCCTCTCAGAGGTTCTGGTCCTGCCGATGGGGGACTAATCACAGCACTTCCTCATAGGGTTGTTGGGAGGAGTCCATGGCGTAATGTACGTAATGTGCTTGGCATGGGGCTGGCATGGATCGGGGTTCAGGGACCGCTTCTCTCCCAGCATGGGGAAAGCTCTGGGCTGCCATGTCCTCAGCTGGGACTCCTGTCACCCAAGCTACTGTCCTTTGTCCCTGCACTGAGAGTGAAGGAGGGGACTGGGTTCTGGAGCTGGCACAGGACTGGCATGTGGAGCTCTGCCTGTCTGGTGCAGGCCCCCTCCCCACAGCAGCCAACACACAGCCCTGCTCCGGGCTTCTCCCCTCCAGAGGCCCCATAGGGCTGCCCTCGAGCCCAAGCTCCTAGACTGGAAAGAGGAGCCAGAGGGCCTGAGTTCTCCCAGCCGCTTGCCAAAAGGGCCACAGACAGGTCCCCTGCGGCATGCTTACTTCCTGCTGGGCCCCACCCGAGTCCCCCCAAAGGACGCCTCTGCCCCAGCCCGCGTCTGCTTCGCCTGAGCCCCCATTCCCAGTGCATGCCGGAATCAGCACGCACATTTGCACGGTGGGTGCGGCAGGCATGGCCCTGGGCAGCTGCATGTGGGGGCAGAGGGGCCCGCTGCACGTAGTCCATGTGGGCAGCTGCCTGGGCGCGCCCGCCGAGACCTGGGTGGCCGGGGCAGGGTACCTTGCCGTGTTCGTGCGCATCCATGTCTTTCTACACGTGTGCTGGTATGTTGGTCTGTCTTGTCTCCCCTGTAGACGGGAAGCCCCCCGAGCCACGCACCAACGGGCATTCTGGGACGGTGACGTCGAGACTAGCCCCACCTAACGCGGGGCTCCTGGCCCCGCCCCGGGAGTCCTCCAGCCTGCAGCCCCCGCCGAGGAGGGAGGATTGACCAGCGCAGGGTGGGGGTCTGAGCGCCAGGGGTCAGGGGTCCCGGCCCATAGCGTAGAGGGCTCAGTGCGCGATGACTGCGTGACCTTGGCAAGACCTTCACTCTCGGGGCCCCTTCGCTCGTCTGGAGAAGCTGGGGTTGGCCCTGTGAGTTCTGGCCGCCCCTGAGGCTCTGAGGATCGAGATTTTAGTCGGGTGGCGGCGCCTGAGCCAGGCCCTCACTCAGTCCTGCCGAAGAGCGAGAGCAGAAGCCATGCCGGGCAGCGGCCCCAGCGAGAGGATGACGTGGCCCGGCCCGGCCCTCCCCGCGGCCCCCCCAACCCGCCCTCTCTCCTCAGCCCCGGGGACACCGCCCATCCCGCCCCTCACCCGGACCCGCAGCCTCATGGCCATGTCCCTGCCGAGCAGACGGGCCTCTGCTGGGTCCCGCAGGTGAGTCTCCTTGCCGGGGGAGGAGAAGGGGCCCTGTCTGCGCTCTGCCCGACTTGCAGCGTGTCCCTGACGCGTGATCTCCCCAGTTCTCCCATCTTTAAAGTGGGTTTGCTATGCTCACCGGCTCCTGGGACCGTGTCGGGGTCCAGATGACACCGTGGGTCTGAAGGTTCACGGAGGAGTTGAACCCGCCAGCTCCTGCCTTCCCCACCTGGGGGGTGTTGGCCTTTGTCGGGCCCAGCTCCCTTGACCACCTTGCTTCTGCCGCTGTGTGTCCCCCACCCTGCCCCCCTCTGTCTCAGTCTGTGCAGGGCTCCTCTGGGCTTGGGGCTTCGGGAAGTTGAGCCCCCCCAGGTAAGGCAGATGGGACCCCACCCTTGGCCCGCGGCCCTGCCCAGCCTCCATTCTTGTCCTGGGGTGCCAGGTAGACTGATGGCCTTCCGGTTTTCCATCTTGATTTGCCCTGTCTGTTCTGTCACCCCTGTCTGTGCCTCCCCTTCTCCCTTCTGCTTCTCTGCCCGGCGGTGACCCCGAAGCGGGGGCCCTTTGGGCCGCAGCGGCCTGGCGGTGTTCGCCCAGTGCCCGCAGCTGCCCACCAGCCAGAATGAGCACCTGCCTCTTCTCCCCGCCTCCAGGCGCACCTCCCCACCCGTGAGCGTGCGGGATGCCTATGGCGCCTCTTCTCTCAGCAGCAGCAGCAACTCGGGCTCCTGCAAAGGCAGCGACAGCAGCCCCACGCCCAGGTAACCAGCCCCGAGGGGGGCCGGGGGGTGTCCTGGCCACCCTGACAGTGCTGGCATACACCCCATCTGGGTGACCCGGACTCGGCTTCTCTGAGGCTCGCTTCCGTCTGTAAGGTGGACGTGAGCTCCAGCCGCACCTGCCGAGGACAGTGGCCCCACAAAGGTCTCAGTAGGACACGGACGGGTGGAAGGGAGCTCGTGAGGGAAGTAACCGTGTTCCACGGTGTGCGCCCAGCCGAAGCAGAACAGAGGAAAAGCGGAATGGGGCTGGGGAGCCAAGGAAAGAGGATAGCAGTCAGGAGTATGGGAGCCCTGTTCCCCGTAAAATGGAGCTAACGCCACGGAAGGCGGGAGTGGACGTCTGCACCCCACTGTAAGCTAGAGCTGGCCCGCACCTTGCACCTGGCAACACTTTGCTCTGCCCCGCGAGGACGCAGGGGCAGGCAGGCGGGCGCGCCCCACCCCGTGGCCAGAGCACCTCCCGGGGGGCTTGTCGCCCCTTCCAGCAGAGAGGGGGCATCCGCGTGGGTTGGCTCTGATCCCATGTAGGCAGCATTTCTCAGGCACCCCGTGAGACCCACCAGGCTCTGAGGATGGGGACCCCCACGTCCTGGCCGTGACTCCACCCTAGAGCCAGGCACGGATGGGCCAGGAGCACTGGCAGCTTCGCTTTGAAAAAGATGCAACTGGCAGCTTTAGTCCCTGTTCTTAGTCGCAGATTTTCGGTTATGCATATTTGAACTGCAGCCCTTGGGGGCAGTGCCAGCCCTGCGCCCAGACAGCTGCCCCCCGGCAGGGCCTCCTCCATCCTGCGTGAGTGCGGGGCCTCAGGACAGCCTCCCTGCAAATAGCCAGGCGTTTCCAGGCGTGAGGAACGGAGAGACGAGAAATACAGTATATCTTTTGTCTCCATTTAATGTCTCTATCTCTAGCTATTTATTTGTTCCTACAAAAAGGGCCAATGAGTAAAAATAAGAATGTTAGCTATCATGTTGGAGAATACTCATGAAAGCAAATGGAAAAATTAAAATAGCGACTTGCCCTCTGGCTAATCCTGGTCCCTTCACCTGCACACGTAAAACCCCCTGTCACTCACGCAGGTCAGGGCCCCACTAGCTAAAGCTTCCGGATGTCTCCAAGACTCGCCCGGGGCCCATGGCCATGCTGGCTTGCTGCTCTGGGGTGAGGGTTTCCGAGAGCCCCACACACAGTGTGCCCGGAGCCCTGGCCAGACAGAGAACCGGCCCACGCGTGGCTCAGGTCAGCCAAGGGGCCATGAGGCGAGTGAGCAGAGAAGAGAATTATTTCCCCTCGGTGACCACCTTCTCCCCAAGGTGGCCGTTACGACTACCTTTCCTCAGTAAGCACGAGACGGCTTCTGTACGACTTTAAAACAGCCGCTGTCGTGGCTGCTTCCGCAGACGCCTCGCCAGTTTGCGTGGCTTTTAGGCCCCTAAAATGCCACGGCCCCTCCCTAGACACAGGAGTCTCCACCCCCCAGGAGCAAAGCTGTGTGCTCCTGAGGCCTCTGCTGAGTAGTGTGTGACTGGCCCCGGGCTATCCAAGGTCCAGGGGATCTTTACGGGCAGAACAGCCAGCAGGCAGGACACTGGGAGTGGAGGCAGCAGGACACTGCTGGTGGAAATGGGGGCTCTCCTTCCCTGGGTGAAACCCCCAGCCCTCCCTGCTCTGGGGGTTCCTCCCCTTGGCACCGGGGGGACTGGGGCGTGCTCAGCACGCTGCCGTCTGTGTCCCCCCTGGGGTCACGTGGGTCACGTGGCCGCCGGGAGCAGTGCACATCCAGCTGCTGCCACGTTAGGTGCAGCTGTCAACAGGCCAATGCCCAGCGCCGGTGGGTGTTCGTGCGCGTGCTCACATGTGCCCCAAGCACGGAAGGGGCTGTGCCCACACGCATGGCTGGGCCCTGGGTGGTGAGTGCCGTGAGGCCACAGGGCAGGTGTGTGGACACACATGGGCACGTCCCTGGGCGCGAGGTAGACTCCGGTGGGCACTTCCCACGCGTGGGTGCTGTCATGCCCCTGTGTGTGTGGGGATGGGCATGGGGGTGTCAGTGCTGGAGACTGCGGGCCTGACCACAGGGCTGCTCCCTTGGGGACCAGCCGTGCGGGGCCTCGGCTCTGGGAGATGCGCCCCGCTGACAGCTGTGAGCCCTAGTCCACCCAGGCCCGGCGAGGGGGGCCCTGTCACGACAGCCTGGTTGGAGATGGCCGCCTAAGCCCTGGGACGCACCGGGCCCGGATCCTCGGCGATAGCACAGGAGCGGCCTGCTCGTGTGCCCTGTGTGCGCCCCACCCTGCCCAGAGGAACCCTAAGTTCCCCACTGGCGCTGGGAAGAGCCTTCATAGGACCAGCCCTCGGGAGGGGCGGGCGCGTGGACACACGTGGACACACAGGCTCTCCCTGTGGGCCCGGCTGGCTGGGCCAGGTCCCCTGCTGTCAGATACACGGCACCGGGGCCGGCCGGGCTCTGCCTCCTGCCCACGGGCGACCGTCCCTCACAGGCGCTCCATGAAGTACATGCTGTGCAGTGACAACCACGGCATCAAGCCCCCCACCCCGGAGCAGTACCTGACCCCACTGCAGCAGAAGGAGGTGTGCATCCGGCACCTGAAGGCCCGGCTGAAGGACACGCAGGACCGGCTGCAGGACCGGTGAGTGCCCCTTCCAGCAGAGGGGGCCATCCGCGTGGTGGTACCCTGACCCCATGTGTGCAGCTTTTCTCAGGCACCCCATGAGACCGCCCAGGGCGGGGGGCATCTCCGGGAGGGAGGCATGACTGGAGGGCCCTGCCCAGCCCCCAGGCTGCCTCTCCTGCCCAGCAAAGCGCTTCCTGGGCCCCACCCACGTGTCCCTCCTCCCCTGGCCCATGGTGCCCTTCCAGGCTCAGCCGGCAGCTCCTTCGTCCCCTCCCTGATCCAGGCGCCCTTCTTGGCCCACCTGTCTCTCTGGGAGGGAGACACCCCAGAGGGCCTGCGCCTCCTCCCAGGACGTCACGGGAGGCTGTCGGCCCACCAGCTCAGGCCCCAGAAGCCTCCTCCTCGCCCGCCTAGAAATGATGTCAGGTCGTGAGAAGCCTTTGAGCTCCAGCCCAGCCCAGGAGGCCCCACAGGCCTGGCGGAGCTCGCTCTGGATGGGGGGTCACGCCCACCTTCCCAGGCTGGCAGCTTCGCCTGTGGCCAAGCCATCAGGGCTCCCTCTGATCTCGATGTCACCTTAACTGGCTTCCTGGGCTGTGTGGATTCAATTCACAGCCTCCATGAGCTGGGCAGCGGCCGGGTGGGGTACTGGAGGGCAGACTGGCCGCTGTGACCCCATCTTCCTTCATCTTTTCTTTGTGAAATTACAGCAGCTTTATTGAAGCACGATTCACTCAGCACAGACTCACCTCTTCAGAGCGTGCAGCTCCGTGACTTTTGGTCTCTTCACAGAATAGGGCAACCATCACCAACATCCTAACTCTCAAACACTGTTCCACCCCTGGAGCCATCATGCACTGCTTCCCCCCGTCTCCCCAGTCCCAGCAACCATGGTCTGGCTCTCGGTCCCTCTACGCTGGGCCTGGCGTGCGGCTGGAGGCAAGGAGCCTGCACCTCCAGCTCCTCACCAGAGCCGTGCCAGGCCCTAGCCCACTTTGGGTCTGCTGTGGTTGGAAACGGGGGCTGTTACAGGTGCTACTGTGGGCTTCTGCAGAGCTCGGATTTCTATTTTTATTTCCTGTCATCATCTCAGGGATACCCTGAGGCTGCCTGGCCATTTGCACGAATGTCCTCAGGAAGCAGAGATATCCCCCTGCTCCCATGGGGGTGGCCTTGGGGAGATATCCCCCTGCTTCCATCGGGGGTGGCTCTGGGGCTCAGCGCAGACTGCCGGTTGGTGTGGTAGAAGGCCTTTTGGGGGACACACCTCCCTCTGGACTCCCTGCTGCCCCCTGCTGTCCTGTCCCACTGCTCTCACTGTGGCTGGCCATGATGGTCACCGGCAGCAACCTACCTTTGTTCCTCAGAGGTGTTTCACACCTCTGTATGTGGGGGGGTCCCCACTTCCGAGACATCCTTTCCCCCATCTTCCTTGGCAACTTGTCCTTCAAGGCCCAGTGCAAAGGTAATGTCCTGCAGCCCACTGAGACCTAGAGTGGATCCGGGGTCCTGCTGGCCGCCGGGAGAGAAGAGCAGGAACCAGCCGAGCTGAGCATTCTAGTTCCCTCTGCCCTACCGAGAGCCTCCCGGGGCAGGGCGTCTGGTGCATCTGTTACTGCCTCTGGGTTGGGTGCTGGTCACAGCCATCCCACAGCCATTGCCTTTCCAGATGACACCACCACGGACTTCCAGGACCAGGGCCCCTGAGCCCAGTCCCTCAGCGTGTAGCGGGGTGAGATTCCGGGCCCGGTTCCTGGACCGCACTCCCCATCTGACTCTGAGAAAGCGGGGCGATCGCCTGGAGCAGTCCCTCTGCGGGGCCCAGGGCCCGTGGCGATGGCCTCGTGTTTGTGGCTCGGGCTAGGTGTGCTGCGGGAGGAAGCCCCAGGCAGCCCGCAGCCGAGGTGTGAGCTCCCCGTTTCTGCAGCACGTGGTCTGCCCCGGCCAGTCTCGCCCTCTTGTGCCTCTGCACCCGATGGGGTATTTTCCTAACTTGCCTCCCTCCCCTGCACCTGAACTCGTCTCTGACTCAGGGATGTAACAGCCCGGGGACCTCGGGACGGGAATCCCCATCGGCTTGCCTGTGGCTGTGTCTTCCCTCGGGAGCTGCTTTCTGCCTTCCGCCGACTTCTTGGGCTTTCCGCCTTTCACGAGCATCAGCGCGGAACACGAGCCCAAGAGCGGCTCCTCACGCCTCTGGTCATCCTCACGCCCTGTCCCTCCACTCGAGGGAAGGTGTGAAACCACCATCTTGCACATTGAAAGGCAGCCCCCTCTGCCTCCTCCCAAACACCCCTTCACGTGAAAGTCACAGCCGCTCTGCGGGAGGCTGGATCCCTTTCTGGGCACAGAGGTGTGGGTTTAGCTATTGTTTCTTATGTTAAGATTTGAAAACAGGTCTGTTAGGGGTTTTTTTTTTTTTTTTTTAAGATTTATTTGTGCATACAGAACTAGGGTACAGGCCAGAGGTGCAGGTCGGTGAGAGGCTTCACCAGAGACAGAGTGGGGAGCAGAACAGGACGACTGAGAAGTACACTGCTGAGGGGAGCAGCAGGTGGGCCAGGAGAGGTCTGCTGCTCCATGTGGTCACCTCCCGGGCAGGCGGGGATCGAACTCATGCGGAAGTGACTTTAGCCTCTCAGTGCTGTGCTTTAACCCGCTGCGCCACCAGGGAGGGCCGGATCTGTTAGGGTTTGACCGCAGTAGCAGTTAGGAATTAATTACGAGTTTGTCTAGTCTGGTCTCTCCCTAGGAAATGATCCTAAGTCTAGATGGTATCTGTATTTCAGCCTTTGGGGGGGATGTGATGAGGCCTCTTCTACACTGCCCCCCCACCCCCAGGAAGCCTCCCTGCCTCGGCTTTTTCAACCTCACTCACTGCCCCCTGGAATGAGGAGCCCAGGAGGTGCTGATCGCTCCTTCTGCCCGTGGCTCCGGGCACCGCGCACAGCCCGTCCTTGGCGGCAGCCGCTGCTCGCCTGCCCCTGGCGGCGGTGACCGGGCAGCGAGCGCGTGTCTCATCTGCCCGCAGGGACACCGAGATCGATGACCTGAAGACGCAGCTGTCGCGCATGCAGGAGGACTGGATCGAGGAGGAATGCCACCGCGTGGAGGCCCAGCTGGCCTTGAAGGAGGCCCGGAAGGAGATCAAGCAGCTCAAGCAGGTCATCGACACCGTCAAGAACAACCTGATTGACAAGGACAAGGGCCTGCAGAAGTACTTCGTGGACATCAACATCCAGAACAAGAAGCTGGAGACGCTGCTGCACAGCATGGAGGTGGCCCAGAACGGCACTGCCAAGGAGGATGGCACCGGGGAGTCAGCCGGCGGCTCCCCCGCCCGCTCCCTCACCCGCAGCTCCACCTACACCAAGCTGAGCGACCCAGCCGTCTGCGGAGACCGCCCCCCCAGCGACCCCCCCGGCGCCAGCGCCGAGGACGGGAACGACAGCGGCTTCGCCACCACCGAAGACACCCTGAGCCGGACGGACGCGCTGGAGGCCAGCAGCCTGCTGTCGTCGGGGGTGGACTGCGGCCCCGAGGAGGCCTCGCTGCACGGCTCCTTCAGCCTGGGCCCCCGCTTCCCCGCCAGCAACACCTACGAGAAGCTGCTGTGTGGCATGGAGGCCGGCGTGCAGGTGAGCTGCATGCAGGAGCGTGCCATCCAGACAGACTTCGTGCAGTACCAGCCCGACCTGGACACCATCCTGGAGAAAGTGACCAAGGCCCAGGACTGCGGGGCGGGCCCCGCATCAGGGGGCTGCCCGGAGCTGGAGCCCCAGCCCCCCGGGCCCAGAGACCCCCCCTCAGCCGTGGTGGTGACGGTGGGTGAGGAGCCCGAGGCCCCGGGGCCCATCACCCACGGGCCCACCCCACTCCGGCCCGGAGCCAACCCCAACCCCAGCCCGTCGGTGAGCGTGGCCTGCCCCGTGGAGGAGGAGGAGGAGGCGGCCGCCCCCGAGAAGGAGCCCAAGAGCTACTGGAGCCGCCACTACATCGTGGATCTGCTGGCCGTGGTGGTGCCGGCCGTGCCCACGGTGGCCTGGCTCTGCCGCTCCCAGCGGCGCCAGGGCCAGCCCATCTACAACATCAGCTCCCTGCTGCGGGGCTGCTGCACCGTGGCCTTGCACTCTATCCGCAGGATCAGCTGCCGCTCGCTGAGCCCGCCCGGCCCCAGCGCCGCGGGCGGGGGCTCCCAGCTCTGAGGAGCCGCCGGCCAGCAGCCCGGCGGCCTGACCACTGATTGTAGGGTGCCGCTCTCCCGCTCACACATTCCCATGGGGCGTCGTCTTATTTATTTCGTTTTGGGTGTGGGAGTGGTTTCTTCAGGTTGTTCACGGTGCCAGCGGTCGGGAGTAGGGGCTGAGGGAAGGCGTCCTGAACTCCGACGGAGGGAAGGGGACAGGCCCCCGGCAGAGGCCCGCGGACTGGACAAAGGCAGTGAGAGGCGGTGGCGAGCCCGCCCCACCCCCTCCGCCCCCGCCCCCGCCTACCTGGTCCTTCACACGGGCACACCCCGCTCAGGAAGTCTCTGGTGTGTTGATATGGGGCGGCTGCACCCATGGGCGCCCCCCCTGGCCTCACCCCCCTGCCCCCCATGTTCTGTCTGGCGCCCTGCTCACTCCCCGCCTTCTCTCCCAGGCCCGGGGCTCCCCCGCTCAGGCTTCTGGGCCAGTTTTATCTCCTCAGAGGGAGCAGCTGAAGCCCAAAGTACAGGCCACTTTTCCAGGTTCCCGCCGTGTCTGGAAGTGCTGGGCCTGGCCTGGGCTCTCCACTCGGGATCCAGAAGCATCTGCAGCCGGGCCGAGGAGACACGGTGCCAGGCCAGCGGTGCAGAGGGCAATGTGGGTTCTGTGTCTGTCTTTCTGCCAGTCCTTCTCCGTGGTTCGTTTTCCTCTGGACACTTCTGGGTGTGTCAGAGCGTCCTCTCTGTCAGAGCTAAACGAGCGGGCTGGGTGCTGAGTAGGAACCTGGCCTGTGCCCCAGCTGCAGCGGGAGAGGCTGCCAGCTCCAGGAGGAGGCGGGGCGGGGGGCTGCCCGGCCTTCTGAGACTCGGCCCAGCGGTCTGGGGCAGGGCTGCCCTCAGCCATCCGCAGCTTGTTGGAGAGCCAGAGGCCCTGACTGGCCCTGGAGAGCTCACCCAAGTTTCATTGGGGGCCTCGGGCCTACCTTCGCTTTGCACTATGTTCACTTTGGGGCTTGGTTCTCACACAAACCAGGGCCCCCAGGACGGGGCCACTTGCTTACTAGAATGAGGCTTCCTAACTCAGACCTCTCTGCCTCTTGAGGGGGATCCAGCAGGATGAATGGTGGCAAGATGGGGGGACTAGAGCCATGACGTTCATCCAAGCCAAAATGGGGTGCTCCCAGCCTGAGCCCAGCCGACCTGGGAAGGTCCACATCCCCCTCCCTCCGCAGGACCGTATCTGGGAGCCCAGCAACGCTGTTCACCTTTTATCAACAGTGTCACTTTATAGAGTATACCCCCCTCCCCCACAGGGCTTACACCACTGGGTTGTTGCAGCAACCCCGCGGAGGTTAAGTCCCACTTTGGGGGGAGACCTGCTCTTACTCACCCTCGGGCCTCAGGACCTCTCTGGTTCCCCGCCTAGGTTGCGTGCCCGCCCCGCTGCTCCGCCAGCTGTTGGCTGACTCCTGGCTCGCCCTTCCTCCCGCGCCCCCCACCCAGGGGCCCTGCATGCCCTGGGCACGGCGGCAGCCAGCCCACCGTGGGGTGACGGCCTTCTCCGCAGCCACGTGCTTTGTGCCTCAGCGCTCCCCCTCCTCGGTCAGGGCCTCAGACCAGCCAGCCTCTGTGGAGCGCCCTCGCCCAGCCAACGCAGGCCTGGCCCGGCCGGGCTGCCCAGGGACGCCGGGCTGTGACGCACCGGGCAGTGGACACTGCAGCCCAAAGCCGCCGGCCCGCCCCCGCCCCAGCCTGCTGTGCCGCGTCCTCACAGAGCTGTGTCTCCTCAGAGAGAGCAGAAGCTTTGCCGAGAAAATAAATATATGACTATATTTGACGACAGAAAATCTATATATTTTTCACCACTGGAACTTACTCGAGCTGCGCAGCCCTCTGCTCCTGTCCGTGTCTTGCTCTCTGTGGCCTTCCTACTGTGTGTCTTGTGTTTCCGTGGCTGTGGCCAGGGCTGGGGCCATCGGCCACGCTGTCCCTGCAGCTGATGAAGCCCTCGTCAGGGACGGCCCGGCGCGGACCCCAGGCCGGTGGACCAGGTGAGAGGGGCCAGCTGCCGCCCTCTCCCGCCCTGTCTGCAGGCCTGCCCGTGTGGGGCACAGGCCCAGAGCGTTGCGGGTCCTCTTCTGGGGGCCTGCGAGCCTTCACCAGGGCTCTCCTTACGGGTGGGAAAGGAGACTCAGGCGCCAGCTTGGGACAGGCCGGCCGCGCCGGCGGGAGGCCGGTGCCCCGCGCGTCCGCGAGCGCATGCGTGCTGGCATCCGCGTCTATGCAAAGGTGAGGCGCTGCCTGTGCAGCCGCGGGGAGGGCCGCGGCCTGCTGGCTCAGGCTCCACGCCCCAACTCCGAGGGGCGCAGGCTGCGGGGCTGGAGGGCAAGGCGGGGGAAGGCCTCATGGAGCGCACACCGGCCAAAGCACCCCTCTTCTTCTAGCTTAACACCTCCTCCCCCCCGTTAGCTGTCCCCTGGCCCTTGGGCCCTCAGCTTCTAGAGCAGAACTCTGGGGCCTCCCTCTCGCTAGCCTCTGGCCAGAGCTCACTAGGTCCCAAGGAACCGACCTCTGCCACTGCAGGCCCCTGGCAGCCGGCAGCCGGCAGCAGCAGACCTGGCCTGTGCTCCTGTCTGTGGTCCAGGCCCAGGCAGGAGTCGGCCAGGGCCCTGCACAGAGAGCTGGCCTCGGCGGGGTCCATGCCAAGTGTCTCCCAAGCGGATAACTTAGCGTTTCACTGAGCACCCTTCCCAGTCCCCACTAGCACAGGGGTATCTGACAGCGCCTCGTTGGGGTTGGGGGAGTACAGGACACAGGTCTGGGGCCTCTGCCCTGTGAACTCCCCACCCCCTCTCTGACCAGCGTAAAGTGCACACGCGTCACAGTGCACTGGTCTTAGGCCATCCCGGCACCAAACTTCAGGGGGGCCGGGCCGGGGGCGGGGGGAGTCTTCACTTTTGTCTCCTTTGTCCTTTTGTTCAAACAGAGTTGTTCCTGCAGCAGACAGCTCTGAATTAAAGCATGAAAACACAGCCAGACCCTCGCCCTGTGTTGTGTCTCTGTTCCGGCGGTGGGTGAAAGCGACTCAAGCCGTCCCTCAGCGGGGAGTCTTAATGCTCCAAGAGCCCGGCACTGGAGTTCTTCGCCGAGGTCGAGGGGAGCAGAGAGTTGTGCTCTGCAGACATCCCTGCGCTTTTGCTGGTGGTCAGGTCAGCCCAAGGCTCTAGAAACACCTCCCCCTGTACCCTGCACCCCCGCACCCACCTCAAACCCCCGAGCCCCGGGAGGGCAACACACTCCAGCACCCACAAGTGACTCTAGTGCCTGCTCTGCAGCTGGGGAAGCAAACTGCTGCCGAGGTGGCCCAGCAGGTCTCACCAGAGCCAGCGTCCCTCCTCCAGCCCGGCCCCCTCCACAGTCCCACTGCCCCCTCCGCTGGTCACTGCTGTGTCCGACTGCCAGGCGGCCTGGGACACAGGCAGAGCCAAGTCACTGCTCTAAGGAGCAATCATCAACAGGCCTTGGTCTCACCACTGCTTGGAGGACCAACCCCGGAAATAAGGAGTCTAGACTTTTCCACTGCTTTTGAGTCAGGGCTTTTATTTAAAATCAAATTTTATTAAAGAGAAGTGAAAGGTTAGTGCGACATACAATGAGCAACTAAGGAAAAAGGAAAAAATTCTCATGAAGAATTCTCATGCCTTTCTGTTGTCTCAAAACTTGGAACTTTTCACGGTAGAGGCAAACTCTTGAAAGGGACCCAGCTGTGATGTGGGTGGCCAACCTGCCTGCGTGCCCAGCATTTAAATTGGCCCAGGGAACTGCCTGCCTGTGGGTCCTGCCCACCGTGCCCATGTCCGGGGAGGCCCGTGTGTGTGAATGGCAGAACCCCGTGGTCCCACACAGCGCCCCCCCCC